CTATTCTGACATCCTTTCATTATGACATGCCTCCATTTAGATATGCCGGTATCACGACATGTCTCTATTTAAACATGCCTCCATTTAGACGTGCCGGTGTTACGACATGCCTCCATTTAGATGTGCTGGTATTATGCCATGCCTCCGTTTGGACGTGCCAGTATTACGACATTTAGATGTGCCGGTATTATGACATGCCTCTATTTAGAAGTGGCGGTGTTACGTCATGCCTCCGTTTAGATGTGCCGGTATTATGACATGCCTCTATTTACACCTGAAGATGTTACGACATACTGTACCTCTATTTGGATGTGCCAGTATTACAACATGCCTCTGTTTAGATGTGCTGGTATTATGACATGCCTCCATTTAGACGTGCCGATATTACGACATGCCTCTATTTAGACGTGCTGGTTATTATGACATGCCTCCATGTAGACAGGCCGGTATTACGAAGTGCCTCCGTTTAGACTTACCAGTATTACGACATGCATCTATTTAGACATGCTGGTATTACAACATGCCTCCATTTAGACGTGCCGGTATTACGACATGCCTCCATTTAGATGTGTCGGTATTACGACATGCCTCCATTTAGATGTGTCGGTATTATGACATGCCTTCATTTAAATGTGCCGGTATTACGACCTGTCTCCATTTAGACGGGCCAGTAAATAGTAAACAGCCGCTATTCTGAAGTAGTGTGACACTTGAAAAATAATGTTTATGCTGCAACTCTATGACAATTAGACATCAATGTCTAAATAGCGGCATGTTGGAATAGCAGCATGTAACTATTCCAGGCAATGCAATAACATCTCCATGGAGACAAGCAGGTAAAAGACCCTTCACCAGAAACATTTAGAAATATTCAATCTTCCAAGTACAACAAACTCCAAAATAAATCAAATTTAGGGCTAAGCCAGGTCTACAATAGGCATACAGAAGTTCTCAACAAGGAAATAAGATAAAATGTGGATAATTTTGATTGAAAATTGAAATGAAGTAAACTGTTAAACTGAAGCGAAGTCCACATAACAAGCTTCACAATGTTTAAGTCCAGGCTCAAAACAGCTCTTTTTAGCTGTGAATATGACAGAAAGGTTTTTACTCTACACTCTTCTCTTTTAAAGGCAATTTTATGATGATTATTTGTTTTGAATTGTTTGTATTGTGGTTTTGATGATTTCTTATTTTGTAAAGCACTTTCAATCACTGTGTGTATGAATTGTTCTCTGCAGATAAACTTGTCGTGCCTTTTTCTAAATGCTCTAACAAATGTGGAAGCATCGTGCTGTGGGAACATACAACTGACCCTCAAACACAAATCCTATTATAATATCAAAGTAACTACCATTTCGAAGCTATAGTGATCTTTCCTTGACCTTTCTATGCATGTGATGTCATTGAGTAGCGTCCAATTCCCAGATCAGAGGATCAGAGGATATTGCACATGCTGAGCCCTGTCAATATGAATTCTTAAGCCTCTAGCAGTGTTATTGTTTATACCATTGTATATGCCATTGTATAGTTGAAAAAAATAAAATAAAAATCTGAGGATTTCAGATAAACAAATGGAGGTTTCCCAAAATGCAGCTTGAGTGAAGCTTTACAATGTAACAACATGATTAAAGATGTTCTATTTCATTGTTTCCCAAAGACTGGGTCATGACCTTCAGGTGGGTGACAAGAGATTTGTTTTGAGTCGCCTTGTCAAGATCTACATGTAGGTCTGCAATATTCTACAGTTCTACAGGTTCTACAGTTCTACAGACTATTTTGTTACAAAAATTGAAAAGAAAAAGAAATGGGCCACATTTAATGTCCAAATAGGCGACGTATGGATCCTTTTATTGCCGCTTCAATTTCTGTTTTTCATTGTTTAAATCTTAAGTAAAAGTTCAGAGAGACACGATCAGTCAGGCAACAATAAAATATCCTCATTAATGTTCAATAATGCTCAAATCCACCTTTATTGTGTGATTTACGAATAATGTCTATTCACTATGAGGCCCAGGGGAAGACCCAGGACACTTTGGAGGGACTATGTCTCTCGACTGGCCTGGGAAGGCCTCATGGTCCCCTTGGAGGAGCTGGAGGAAGTGTCTGGGGTGAAGGGAGTCTGGGAGTCCCTGCTTAGATTGCTGCCTCTGCTATCCAGCCCCGGAGAAGTGGAAGAAAATGGATAGATTGTCTATTGACTTGGATCTCGAAGGTTTGTGACTTTTAAAATATGGGTCCCCAGAAAATAAAAATAAAAAAGTTTGGGAAACACCGCTCTATTTAACTTCTCTTGGGGCAAGGTGGGTTAAAGGTTGTATGGAGGATTTTTTTTGTTTGTTTCAAATTGTCAGTGAAAGTTTAAAATACCATTACAGAGATGCAGCAGCCTTGTAATTATGATGACCAAAAAAAAAAAAAAAAAAAAAAAGAAAAGAAAATCTATCAATTGTGGATGTAGTGAAGCCAGATAAACATCAGCCAATAGAAAACGAGGCTCCTTCATTTTCTATTGGCTGTTAGGTTGTCAATCAAACTCCCTATGTTCTAGTGTAACTGACTTGTCGGCGTGCGGGGATTACGTGGTTTATGCAGCGGTACTTAGAGACTTTTTTAAACTGTAGCTTCCTCGCATTTCGCACAAAGTTTGTTGCGATGATGGACGAGAATCCACGACCAGTTCGCCGCAAAAAAAGTCAGTTTTTGAGGTTGTTAAAAAAAGAAGAGAAGGAGAAAAGGAGCAAAGCCAAACTGAGGTGATTCTTGGAGATTTCTTCCAGCGATGGCACAAATTAAGCAGACGAAGGGTCTAAAAACTGACACGTCGGTTGCTAAATTTCTTCTAGACAGGTCACTTCAACAGTAATTTTGAACACGCACTGACTGTAAACAAGTGTAATTTCTAGAGTAAAGAGGCGGGAGGAGGTGTTTTTACTGAGGGAGCGGTGGAGGAGGAAGGTGGTGTCACGCATGCACAGCATTTGAAAAAGGACTGTCGCTGTATTTGTTTTCCCTTAAAAAATCCTCTATACAACCCCAAGACACTTTAAGTGTCTTGCGCAAGGACACAATGACAGCATTCATCTGTAAGAGCTGGAATCGCACCATCAAACTGCAAACCTTCGGGTCATTAGACACTCTAACTGAGCTACTCTTTCTCTAACTACGCTAGAACAAATGGAGGTGCCACAATACAACAGATTACCCTGACAAAATGAGTGAACGTTAAAGCTAATGTTACATAGACTAGCCATCTCTATAAAGTTGGCACTAAACAAATGCATGAATGGCTACAGCTAATTAGCATTCTTGATTCATCTGCTAATTATCAACAACTCTGGGGCAGAGTTAATTGAGTAAAACTGATTTCCATCATGCTGAATATCTGCACCCTCACAAAGCCCAATGAGGGGAAAAAAAATCTATGCATTTGTTTCTAATACAAGTTCAGCATATTTCTGAATGGTCAACGACTGGCAGTTACCATGGTGACACAATACACACATTAGAAAACACGGCCTGATATGTTTTTAGAAATGAAAAAGAGCGTTATAGAGTTTGAGTTTCAACAAAAACAGAGTAACAGACTGTGTTAAAGAAAGCTCAGATTAAAGTGAAGGTCTTTCGCGAAATCAGTGGAGCTTTCTTCTGTGTTATAATGTTCCCTCATCAAAAAAATATGCTTGAAGAGGTTAATAAAGAATAACATGTTGATCTAAATACATTATGTGTTAGCAAATGACAGCACATAAAAGTGTAACTACCCTATTCTTTAAAGGGACAGTCCAGAATTTTTGACATATGACCTAATTTCCTAGTGAGCCAGAGTGTTGGGGACATGCGGTGACACTTTTTTAAATATTCCATCCAGTCCTTGTATTTGCAGAGGTCACTGTTGCTAGGCTAGTGCATGTCAATGGTCATAGTTAGCCTGCCACTAAAAACAGTCTTACCCACTCCACAAAACACCTGAAGCAAATCTATTATAATGCCAGACTGTCAATTTAAATGTCTGTGTTGATAGATTAATTTTAGAAGTAAAACCAACCTTGCATTTGAATGATTTATGTCTGAGCAGCAGCAGCGAGTTCCTGATAGAAAGCTTGGCAGCGGCGGACTGATATCACCGAGCACAGGGGTGGGCAAACTAAGGCCCAGGGACCATATGCGGCAATTTAATCTTTTTAATCCGGCCCACCAAACTTGAATAATAATAATAATAATTTTCAGTGTTTTAAAAGTCATTTCAATGAATAGTAAATACCCTGGGACTTGAAAGACAGATATTTTCTTGTCATACTTTGTAATGATTTTTAGTTATGGGATATTTCGATAACGATTCTCTTATGAGGTGGGTTACCAAAAAACTCCATCCATCTGCTCCTGGTCCGGCCCTTCTGTAAAATTTTAGAACCCTTTGTGGCCCACGAGTCAAAAAGTTTGTCCACCTAGCACCTATCTTAAGGGCAAAGTAAAATTCCACTGTTGCTGATAAAATAGTCCCTCAGCATGCGATGACTCATGTGATGCAAAATTAGTTTTATTTCAAACATTATTCTATCAACACAGACATTGACATGGACAGTCTGGCGTAATAATAGATTTGCTTCGGATGTTTTGTGGAGTGGGTAAGACTGTTTTTAGTGTCAGGATAACTATGGCCATTGACATGCACTAGCCTAGCACCAGCGACCTCTGCAAACACAAGGACTGGATGGAATATTTTAAAAAGTCTCTCCACACGTCTCCAACACTCTGGCTCACTAGGAAATGAGGCCCTATGTCCAAAATTCCAGATTGTCCCTTTAACCTCTAACTTGAGTTACAGAGCTTCAGACGGGGTAGTGCCACTAGTTAGCCTCACCCCCAGTGGCTATTACTGATGTAAAGTATCAATATTAGTGAACCTTTGAAAGCTGGAGTGTACCCCTATTAATACGTTCCAGTGTCTGTGAACTGAATTTAATAAGTATACGCATAAGACCATAAATAGTGAGTACCTCCTCCCAGCCGCGTCCGTTGGTGTAGGAGATGACGTCGAGCAGAGGGTTGGACAGGTATCCATCGTTACTGAAGGAGTAGTCACGCCCCCCGATGGAGATGTTGGTGAAGTACCTAAAAACACAGAAACGTATCATGTCAGTAATTGATGAGTTTCAGAATGTAGAAAGTGAAGTGGTAAAGGCTGGTGTTCCTGCATCAAGTCAAAGGAAATATATACAAATGACTTTTTTTTTTTATCTTAACAGTCGCTATGTAAGTTTTTTGGTGTCAAATTTGCCACTTACTGAGATTTCCGTGCCTGAAATGTTCCGCGGTACGCCATTCAACTCCTCTGAATCTATACCACATTTATGCAAGAGTGACAGTAGCTCAGATGGTGGAGTGTTTGTCCACTGATTCGAAGGTTCATCATTGTGTAGAGCGATCCACTGACCCACACAGATGAATGATGTTATTGTGTCCTTGGGCAAGACACACTTAACTCACCTCACCTTGTCTGTGTACAATGGTGTATAAACGGGTGAGTGGTTCATTGATGTGAAGTGCTTTGAGTGCCTTGAAAGTGGAAAAGCTCTGTATAAAAATGTGACCATTTATCAAAACTTGACAAGCATTTTTATTGTAGTGCCGCCTCTCCACAGATCTGATTGGTAATTTTGTCTGATGACGTAACCTGGCGTCCATGGAATTTAATATGTTTAAAGGCATAATGTGAAGCATTTCAGAAATACAATCTTCAACTTGCACAGTACACCTACAGTATCCATTAGAGCAGGTTTCAGATCGCACAAACACAAGCACAAAATACGGAGATGGTCTTTCTTGGAATCTTTCTGGAATGTTCTGCAGTATGGCATTAACTTATGTATCTTGCATTTATTCTATTATATACAGTATGTCAAGTGCCCCAAAACCATTGACAAGCATGCATTGTTGTTGTGAGTGTTGCCACCTCTCCACAAATACGACCAGTGACTTTGTTTGGTGATATAACCTGCTTGTCCATGGAATTTAATGTGTTTAAAGTCATACTGAGAAACATTTCAAGACTAGAAAAGCACTCAGAGAGCGCAGACCTCCACCAAGGACTACCCCCATTTTTTATATAAATTGCGATAAAATCAGTCTTCTGGATCAGATCCGGATCAGCCTTTGGAATATGAAAGAGGATCCCATTGTCCATCCCTGAGTCAAATTTCATGGGGTTTCGTCAATAATTAACCCAGATATTGAGAAACAAAATTTTTGGCCCCATTTACCACAATGTTAACTAAAATTTCAAAGTGATCCAGAATCCAGGATTTCTTCCGGATCACCCCCAAAATGAAATCAGTTCTTCCTTTTCACATTTCCAACAAATCCTGAAAATTTCATCAAAATCGGTCCATAACTTTTTGCTAACAGACAAACAAACAAACAACACAAACAAACGCCGGCAAAAACATAACCTCCTTGGCAGAGGTAAAAAAGCAATACAATCTCCATGGAGACAAGAACTTGGCAGACCCTCCACCACCACAGATCCACAGTGCACCTACAGTATCCATTAGAACAGGTTTTAGATGGCACAAAAACAAGTACAAATACGTAGATGAGCTTTCTTGGAATCTTTCTGGAATGTTCCACAGTATGGCATTAAACATTAGCCAGGCTCACTCCCCCTAGTGCCTTTGCTCAATTTCATTTCTCACACTAGACGGTTCACAAAAAACCTAGAAGTGCAAGTTCAGGCACCAGCCAATCAGCGAAGAGTGATATATTCAGTGTTGTCACCGATTCCCGAGATCGAGGATTTAAAGCCAGAATAAGGAGAATGTTTGGTGAATTTTATCAAGGGGAAAAACGTTATTGCCCTTCTTCCTACGGGATTTGGGAAAAGCTTAATATGCCCGTTAGCCTCTTTAGCAGCGCATTACATACGTCACGACCAAATAGCAGCGACTGGTTAAATGACAAAAAGTACCTGCCTACTGTCCAGCGAACGAATTCCAAAGCTGCAAGGTCAGACGGTTTCTACGAAGTGAAACCCGCTGATGAATCAGGCTAATTAAATGTATATATCTTGCATTTATTCAGTAACATATGTTAATTTCCCAAAATTCACTTGACAAGCTTGTACTCTTGTTGTGAGTGTTGCTTGAAGTAACCTGCTTGTCCATGGAATAGAGTGTGTTTAATGCCTTATTATTAAACATTTCAGCAATACAATCTCCATGGAGATAAGAACTTGACATACCCTCCACCACAAAAGTTCTTCAGTGCACCTACAGACTTGATTAGAGCAGATTTCAAACAAAGTTACAAACACGGAGATGTTCTTTTTGGAATTTTTCTGGAATGTTCCACAATATGGTATTAAACGTATGTATCTTGCATTTATTCAATTACATATGTTACGTTTATTAAATTACATATGGTGATGTAACTTCCTTCCGTCTCCATAGAGCTACTGTATATTTAAAGTGATACTAAGAAACATTTAAAGAAAATCTGTACAATCTCCATGGAGACAAGATCATGTCAGACCCTCCACCAAAAAAGTTCCACAGTGCAGCTACAGAATCCATTAGAGCCGGTTTCAGATGACACAGACACAAACACAAACAAAGAGAGAAGGACACCCAAATGGATCTGTGCACCTCCGTATTTTTATCAAAGCAACTGAACCAAGAAAAGCCCAAAGATATAAAGCAACACAAGATGGACCAAGCCTAAAACACTTTGAATAATAACAAAAAAAACACCAGAGTCGTGTCCAGAAAATAGCCACTTCTCTTGTAATGTGTTTGAATGAGAGATGTGGCTAAAAGCACATCAGAGCCTGGTTTTAAATAAGAGCATAACTGAACTTAATCACCTGTAATTGGACTGACTGAACACGGTGTCTCCAGAACTTTGAGATCTGAATTCATGAATACGGAAATGTGAAGGTGTGAAGTGTGAAAGAAGGAAAGTACAGGTTCGTATATAAAAGTTATCCACATTTGCAAGTAGATTAACATATACAGTATTGGTCACATAAACAGGAATTAGTAACTTCTAAATATTTGGAATATAACAACATGGTTAAAGGTCTACCTAGTAACTTTTCTGGTTCCTGCTACCAACTGTCACTCAGCCTGAAATGTTCCACAGTTTGGCATTAATTGCAGTTATAAATCAGAGCTATAAGTCGTTCCAAAGTATAAGTTGCACCAGCTAAAAAATGTGCAATGAAGAAGAAAAAACATATATAGGTCGCACCGGACTTTAAGTTGCACTTTTTGGGGGAAATTTATTTTATAAAATCAGAGACCAGGAACCGACATTTCATCGAAAGGCAAGTTCTAGTAATAACAATAGAAGAGAGAACAACAGACTGTTAACGTCACATATGAACAGTTCTTCAGATAACTATAGTATAAACAACAGAACAGAACAAGTTTACCAAACTCTCCATCTCACTCCAAATCACTAAATCCATTGAATTCTACATCCTTGGTGCCACTTCTGAGTAACTGCGCGAGGTAATCAGAGCGCCGCTTCCTCATCTGTGTAGCTGTCGTCAGACTCAGCATCAGTTCCAGTTAGAATTATTCCGGCCTTTCGGAATCTCGGCAGGATGGTTTTGGTGTCACTGAAGTCACTTAAATTTAATATTTTCAGTGGTACAGAAGTAATGGTGCGATCGACTGACATGACACCAGAAAGGACAGCGGCTCTTTCTGCAGGAGACATGAGCAAATAGTAGCAGCAGATATTGGCAGACAAGCCTAGGACGCCACCTTAAGGCTGTTAGTGTGAAAATTTTAATATATAAGTCACACACCGGAATATAAGTTGCAGGAAACACCCAAGCTATGAAAAAAAGTGTGACTTATAGTCTGAAAAATATGGTACATGTTTTTTTGTTTATTTTTTGTTTATTTATAATTTTTTTTATGAAGGGTCGGCTACCCATTTGTTCCCTTTGCCTGGAATGTTCCACACTAGAGCATTTATTCAATTCCGCATCTTTTAACTGCTTAATATTTCCTTTAAATACTGTGAGCAGGGTAAATTCTCTAGAGATAAATCTTGTAACTTGCCCGGTGGTGCCTGCTTGTTTCCATGGAGATAAATAGGTTTAATGTCATCGCAGGCAAACGAGACGTGTCCAGGAGTGGTTCAATGTGGAAAATTTTCTATTTGATGGTACTAGCTTCAGGCATGATAAATCCTCGTGTCTCAAGCCAGTTCCATCTTCTTGAAAATGGCTTCTGCATGTGTGTTGACCACCACTGGAACACAACTGGAACACACATTTTAGGGAATGGAGACATAAAGGTGCTGAAAACAGTGCACATTTAAAGGTATATTGATTACGTATATTACACAAAATGGACTCTTGTGAGCTTTGAGCCATGTGATAATGTTGTTACCTCCGCAAAAACAAACCTGGAATAGTCTTGTTTCCTTTATACGTTTGAGTGACCATTTATTATTAGTCTGTCTACATCTCCAAAGCTCAAAATGCTCTGTTCCACCTTGTGATGTCATGAAGCGGTAGTTGTCAAGTTACCTTTAGTTCAGTAAAGATTGACAATTCCAGGGTTGATATCACCCAAATGATTCTAATAAAGGTGTGTGGAATTTAAAAACACAGTTAAGCACTCCCTGTATTACTGCATGACATCACAAGGTGGAACACAGTGTTTTCTGTTAGAACTCTAAATATGCACGGTTTGTGTGTTAAACGTGAGAATAAAACAACACAATTTCAGTTAACATTATAACATACATCAGAACATAGTGTAATATGGATCATTTACATTTTTGGTTTTTAATATTATCGTATTTTTCAGACTCTAAGTGCCACTTTTTTCATGGTTTGGGTGTTTCCCGTGACTTATACTCCGGTGCAACTTATATATTAAAATTTTCACACTGACAGCCACTAGAGGGTGCTTGTGTGTCAGTATCTGCTGCTCCTGTTCCTCCTGTACCACTGTCACTGGGCTCTACTGCACATGTCTCCTGCAGAAAGAGCTGTTGTCCTGCTGCATGTAGTGAAATATGCAGCCGAAAATGGCAATCGAGTAGCAGAAAGAAAGTTTAAAGTGATCGAGAAACTTGTGAGGGGCTGGCGGAAA